TATTGGTTCAAACTTAAGCATAAATCGCAGCAAGATGTGGATGAGCCCTTCTCCGGTAATGGTCGTATAGTGATTAACCCCAAATATGTGCAATGCCATGACTACCCACTAGTTGAGAAGCTAGCAAAATCGCCACAGGAAGCACGTAAGAAAGCTAACCATTCGTTACTTTTGTATTTTTTGTAATTTTTAATGGAATGCTCATTTAGGCGCAAGTGAAGGGATTCTATCTGCCACTGCATCATCTGCATCGGATGCTGCTATCTCGTCTCTTGGCGGCGCGGCTGGCAGCCCACCGACTGGCATTACCATAGTGGGCGGTGTTGTTCAACAGGCACCAATAGTTAGCGCCGCCACTTCACTCGGAGAGTATACAATGCCTGAACGCAACTATTGGCAAGGTATGTTCATAAAAAAAATGTAATCTTATTATCGTTTACATATGTACATATATGCAATCGTACAGTCGTATTTCAATTAATATATATACATATATTTCTCTGTTCTACAGAACGTTCGTCGGAGTGTCGAAAAGATTTAGACGCACTGCGATATTCCTTTAAAACTCGTTACAGTATGCTAGCATTTTCACATCACAGCCATAACGAAAGGCTAAACTCGTCCTATCCACCAGGTTGGTCTCTTAATGGCACGATGATAGCTCATCTCCACGAACATTCCGAGTCTGTAATTAGAATGACATCGTTAAGGCCGAACGGTCCTATCTTCGCAAGTGGCAGCGTTGATGGCACAGTGAGGCTTTGGGATTGTAATAAATTGAATGTCAATCAGGGCATCAATAGGTCGCGTCAAGTTTACTCAGCAAATACACCGATTTATTCACTGGTTGCTTGCGACAGCGGTCAGTCGTTGGCAGTTGGTGGCAAGGATGGCAGTTTATTAATTATGCGTATTGATAGGAATTCATCAAAAATGGCGTTGCAACAAGCATTGCATTTAGACGAAGAGTAAACTGCTTGTACATTTGAAAGCTTGAATAATTTTGACTAATTATTGAATTGATTTATTTGTAGTGACCAAAGCGATGGACCCGTTGTGGATATGCAAACCTATGATCAAAGCGTTATCATCTATGCCACGGTATATGGCGCCATAGTTGGATGGGATACACGGGTGCAAAAGCCCGTTTGGCGTTTAGAGAATGAACTGCAACATGGTGTTATAACAACAATATGCGTTGACCCAGCTGGCTCGTGGTTAGCTACCGGCACTAGTGGTGGAAAACATATTTGTTGGGATTTGCGTTTCCAACTGCCAATTGCCGAAATTAAACATCCCACTGGCTCGAGGATACGCAAAGTTGCCTGCCATCCAACAGAACCTTCATATTTAATTTCAGCCTCACAGTCGAATAATGAAGTCTCTTTGTGGAATATTGAAACGGGTCATCGCCAAACAGTATTGTGGGCCAGTTCAGCATCTGTGCTTTCAAATACCCACACAGTAATATAACTAACTAATGGCCCTATTATGTATGGCGACTGGGGTCTACTTACTGATCTAGTAGCCATGTTTGCCAGTATCGTAATTTGTATTATGTGTAGCGAATAATCTCAGAAACGCGCAGAAAACATCCGAATTTACTTTTTTGACATGAACTTTTCCCAAGTAATGGCAACTGTGCTCCAATGTGTTGAACAATTTATGTGAACAAATAACAAAATCCTCGTTAGCGGGAGACAGAAAATTCCGCTACTAGACTCAGTAGCCGACAGTCAGTAGCCAGTAGCCATACGTAATGCGAACTTTAGTATATGGTTGCCCATCGGCTATCAGTCGCCATACACCGTAGGGCCATAAGTAATGGTATCGTTTATCTTATAGAATGAAACATCGACATCATGTGGGATTTTGAGCGGTGTAGTGGATAAAACACCATTCATACTAACTGGCAGCTCAGATCAACGTATACGTTATTGGGACCTGAACGAGCCTAAGAATTCATCACTGAAAGTACCTGCTGCCAAAGACAATCTTGAAGACGTTTCCTTCAACTATGAGTATGCAGATCTTGTGAATTTTTTATGCAAACATATTCACTATATATTTACGCGTTTCTATTCGCAGTTCACAGATGATTGACGGCAGTCAAGTAATTTTCGAACAAACAGTCTCATTGAGTAATCCGTCAGATATAAATTCAGCAAGCTGTTCAATGGAAGAAAATCCTCGTTCGGGGCCAGATATGCCGTCGCCATGTCACCATGATGCCATCACTGATTTATTAATGTGTAAAACGGATAAAGGACAGATCTTTATTGCATCTGCTGCGCGTGATGGTGTTATCAAGTTATGGAAGTAGGCAAATATTTATTTTTATTTATAAATTATTAATCATACACAAATGCACTGTATAGATTTTAAATATTTTTTATGCATATGTACATATGTATATGCACATCGGTACATGTACGTATGTCTGTGATTCGTCATATTTCATCTCAAATGCACTTTGTGTCTAACACATACTTTAATGATGCATAAAGTTTCGTTTAAAAACGGCGATAATTCTGAAAATTTTGTTTTACATGTTGATCCATTTTAATTTTAATTCATGAAAAAGTGAGCAAAACTGCATATTACTTTATGTATTGTATGTATATGTTTATGTACGTATGTGAAACATTCAATAAAATATGAAATTTATTAAGATATAACCCCCAACAGTTCAAAATGGCTCCTCGACGAGTACGGTCGTGCTGACCTGTCGAGTTTTGTTAAAGCAAATATCTGACTAAATACACACAAAAATGAAGTCGGTTCATTAAATATAACATTAAACCTATTAAAACAAGAGAAAATAATACTACAAAATATTATTACATAAGTAATGTAATAAACGTAGACATAAAGAAAATTGATACTAACACCCCTATTCTGCAACTCTTTCGTATTCGGATTTTGCTACGAATCGTAGGAATAGTATGCTGCAATCCGAATCGTATTTTCGAACTTTCGAAATTCGTAACAATGGCATGCCTAAGTAAGCTTTTTTGCGTTATTTTGTACGAAAACAATTCTGTGTCGGAGGCGAAATGAAATATCCAAATCGATGTGTGTTTGCAAGAAATATTAGTGGTGTTCATTTAAACAGATAAATTTGCTTTCGCATATACGTATATTTTTATCCACTGCTTTATATAAACGAACAAAAAAGAATCTTGGTTGCCCCTTATCGAGAAACTTGGGTCCGGTATACGTATATTCGGTCCTATGCAGAATATCGTCATCGTCAATGTCGACGATCGTCAGCGCATCAGTAACATGGCTGACGATGGCAGTAGCGTCACTTTTACTGACGATGACGATCTTCAACATAGAGCGGAATATATATAGCATCTATAGGTAAGTGCTGTAAAATTAAAGACAATAGAATTATGGACTACCACGACGCAGACTTTAGTGTAAATAAGCTCCGTAGTTCAAAAAAATAAAATCTCCCCGAGCAAAATTTTCGCTGCAATCACAAGAATGCAGTTGCCAATATAGCAACTCATTTGTAGTTGTTGATGTAGCAGCACATAGTACCCGAATTGATTGGTCCTTAGGCCCAATAAAGAAGCAGTTTCTATCGGCCATACACTAGCAACTCATTTGCTAGTTGCTATCTGTAATACCCTCGACCCTATTAAGCTGGCATTTCAGGGTACTATTTTTGAAGTGAAACTTCTTTATCGGCAGTTGGTTGGTTAGGAGTAAATTGGCAAATTCAACGGAAATCGCACACGGAAATGGTGCAACGGCAATGGTTCGGGTTGAAACAAGTGCTTCATGTGTGTATGCACATTATTATTATTATTAATTTAACAAAAATTAGCTAATATAAGGTTAAAGAATAACACTTAGAAAAAGAAAGAAAGAATGGAAGTAAAGGTGACTGCGTACATAGATAAAGAAAAGGATAAACGCAAAGGTAAAAATAAAAAAATAAAAAACAAAGATAAAGGCAAAAATGAGGACTAAGGTAAATTTAAACATTTTACTTATATATATAAGGGCAAAGGTGAAGGGGAATATGTTGATGAAGAAAAATATAAACATCAAAGTAAAGACAAAGAGAAAGATATGCGAAGAAAGTTTAAAATGAAGGTAATTAAAGAGGAAAGGATATAGAGAGAGACACGGAGATTCAATCTTCGAACTATTTTGGGATTTTAAATTTTTTCGGGGTTCTCGGGACTTGTCGATAAAATAATTGATAATTTTATCGATATTTTTAACGATTTTTCTATATAAATTTTTATCGATATTGTTATCAATTTTGTTATCGATATTTATCGGTTTTGTTATCTATATTTGTCGATTTTTTGTCGATATTTATCGATTTTGTTATCAATATTTATCGATTTTTATTGGTTTTTATCGATTTTGTTATCGATATTCATCTAATATAAATGTAATTAAACAAACAGGGGTAGAGGTAGGGATCTAGATAGAAAAGACAAAAAATATAACCTTAAGCAAAAGCAGATGTATGTATGTATGGTTATGAGACAAAAGAGATATGTATGTAACGTACATAAGTTTCACTTCTGCAGTGTGGCCCAGACGCACTTACTTTTTTTATATATAGGGAAATTTTGAAAGTAAGGGGGAGCTCGAACACTCCCTGCCCCTACCTGGCTACGCCAACGTCTCTGCCTATACAGCTGGCGAAAAAACTGATTCCCACGACAGTCGGGTCTACGTAACTGGAACGACCCAGATTTATATCTGGCCAAAGACTGTCACTCCAGCAACACTCCCCAAAATCTCTTTGGGGAATTTGTATGCTGTTACAATAACAACAACAGGTTGCAGTAGAAAATTAAGCAAATACAAAAATTTCCAAAGGATTAAAATTAATTGATTATGTGACAAAATAGTAGTGTTTTATTTAAGACACAATGGAGCGCAGTCATACAAATGGGAAATGAAAGCATGATTTGCATAAAACGCGACAACACTTATTTTCTTATTATAACTAAAACATAGATATCTTTCCTTCATAATATTTATCATAATTGATTGCTTTTCTAAACGCTTTTCGACAATATGACGATTTTATTAGAAACTAGGCGTATCATATATAAAACATTGAATAAAAAACTAATACAAAACTGCCTTATTACATCTTTGGGTTCGAATCGTAAGTCGTGAACGAGCGACTCGTCCCGTAAAACTACATATTTCGTAATTCTGTGCACGAGACGACAGTTGTTATAATCCGAAATATTAATTTTTACGAAACGAGTTGCTCGCTCACGACCGTTACGATTCGAGCCCTGGTTTTGTTCTGAAACTAACGTAATACACATATTCTTATCGTCCATGTTAACATTCTAGTCCCGCGTGCGAAGACCCCAAATTGATGTGCGACGTGTTCCAACAGTTGGTCTGGCTACTGAACTGTGGATGAATTTATTAATTCCTATATTTGGAAAGTTTTGTTCCAACAACTCCATTCCAGTATCTGAGAGCATTCCAAATATGTCCAGATAAGTCAGTGTGGGCAAATTAATTAAATCCCTAAAAAGAGAAAACGGGAAATCACAAAAAAAATCGCCGTATTGGCATTAATTTACGAAAGTTTAATAAATGGTACTTACATATAGGAAGACGCAGGAATGAGATAGCAGCGAGACAAAGACAAATATTCGAGCATTTTGAATCTACAAATAATATTAACGACACTGCCTGTCAATGCAGTACAATCAGAGAAATCTATTTCTAGAAGTTGTGGACATCGTTTGGCCAAGCTGGCCACGTCTATAAAAAAAAAAATAGGAAAAACCCCTATATTAGTAAAAAAAGAAATGTTTCCCTTTGTCTCCATAACCTACGTGAGTCATACAGTGTCTTCCGACAGCCAGCCATATTCAATCGCATAAGATTTGGTGTCACATTTGTCACTACCGATGTCACAGCATCCACCGATAAGTTTGTCCATGATATATTCAAACTGTTTAAATTTTGCAATGATTCCATTATTTTGCGCACACTCCAGGCTTCCAATCCTATACACATTGCTAAATTCAGTGCTTCTAAATTGGCATTCTTAGCTATTTCGTTACAAATTTCATCGTTAATGGGCACATGCTCTAAGCTTAGTTTCTTTAATTGTCGGCAACGTGATAATAGCATTTTTAGCGACGGCTTTGTAACCGATACCATACTTAGATCTAAATACTGCAACTTCGATTCGAACTTCGTTTCGGCATGTAGAAAGTCACTATCGAAGATGGGATGATTCAACTTAAATGCAAAAAAAAAAAAAATTATTTACATACATATGTCCCCTTTTTTCCACAACGTATAAATAATTATATTTTTTAAATTACCTCGGCTTGCGCTAAACGTAGAATTACTACACCGCGTGTTAATATACTTTCCAGGGCACCAGCCCGCAAATGCCGTCCTCCTAAGTCCAGACGCGTCCAAAGCGACTCATCACTGGCACATCTACCAAAACGTCGACAAACATAGCTACAGCGTATTAACGCTTTTTTAGGAAGCCATTTAAAAATTTGTAAAATAATCTCATCCGACAACGAGCTAAAATGATCCTTTCCATCGTTAACATGATCGCGCAACTGTTGTTGTTGTCGAAACAAGAAGAAATTGTCATATAAAGCCATATGTGGATGCTGCTCATTAGGTTTTTGCTTCTGCTGATGTTGGCTTAGATTTTGAACTTGCCTCTGCAACTGCTGCTGTTGAAGCTGTTGTCGCTGTTGTTGTTTGATTAAAGTTATCTGCTTGCTGGTTGAAGGCATGGGCATGTAGTTGGATGCATATAATACAGGATTGGGATTTGTTGAGTTATTTATTGTAGCGATGCCATTACCTCCTATGCTCTATTTATTATAATAGAAATAAAATTAAGATTTAAATAAATTAGAATACCTATACGAAATTACAATATTCAAAACTGTTATCCAATACCTCATGCTGTGAAGCATTCCTTACTGTTCGATTATGGTTGTTGCCAGAAACTGTAGCCAACGGACTGCGTGTGCTTCTGCCTGCTGAAGGCGAGTTGGAATTCGAATTTGTAACATTTGGTTGTGATGCAGACGCGGACGACGAACTACTACCTGCACCCACACCAAGTATAGCGACTTTCCTATATTGAGGTAGTACTTTATCTACATTTTTAGATTGACATTGTTGCAGCTGCAACGTTTGTTTGCTTTCGTCACCAAAGGAGTCTAATGTATTGTTATTATTATTGCAATGTTGATGATTTGCATTACTACACTCGGGTTCAATATGGCTGATGTTGGGGCTACCTATTAATGTATTATTTTCACTGCTAAGCGTACTGTCTAGCGTACTGTCCAAAGGTCGGTAGGATGCAATACGATTGTGACACATCTTTGGTGCATCCAAATTTGGAGTAACCCCATTCGAATTTTCATCTGCACTTGCACTCAGAACAAGAGCAATTGATGAAGCCGCAGATGATGAGCTCTCTTCCGAGTCAAGCATACCAATACCCATTTCCTCCAAATATTCTGTGGTTAGAGTACTTGGTGATGAGTTTGTTTCAAGTTTAGCTACTTTCCAACTGTTGATTGGAGTAGTTTTTACACGTTTTCTGAAAATAAAGTGAAAGAATTGTTATTGTACGACTTGTGCACATTTAATGACACATCTTTTATTGCCTGTATGGCCAAGCACGCTCTGGAAAGACAATATGAACAAATCTATTAAAAATCAAAAAATGTCGATAGCAAGCTACGAAGGGTCACACACCTCTTATTTAATTAATCAGCACAAATGCTCGCAAGTAACTTTGCCGAACATCTTTACTATACTATGGGTTGGAATAATATAAACCGACAGCAATAATGTGTTTAATACCTGAATTCTTCAATTTGCAATCTCAGCGAAGATCCACCTCAACAAAAAGACTGCAGATTACATATACTAACAATACAAACGAAAAAAACCTGCGCCGCCTTTTGTTTAACAACAAGTACAATTGACGGAAAGACAGCTACTAGGGCGGCGACATCGACATCGATTTTTGCAAGTAATCGATGTTTTGACAAAATCGAGCGCTAAAAACGATTTTTATTTTCCGATATTTGGACAACATCGACTTATTGGCTCGATGTTCATGTCGGAAAATTAATAAAGTCGTCTGAAAAAGTTTGAGTTTTGGCTATTTAATTATTACCTTGAAATCTGCTTTCGACTTCTATAAAATACGAAGGTAAGGCAGTGGTTAAAAATGTTCTATTCCTCAATGATTTTATATATGTACATAACATCATTGGTTTTGAGCCTTTTGAGTTAACTTACTGTTTTTTTCGAATATTATTGTGGATATAGTGCTGAAAAAATTACACTCAATCATTTCACACATTCAAACGCCTAATCTTTCAATGAAAAATACCGATGTTTTTAACATCGTGTAACATCGATGTTACGAGCTCGATGTCGCAGCCTTAATAGCCACTAGAGCTGAGGAATGCAAACGATGCATAGGCACCTATTATGAGTTGCATTCGATCTTCGACTGTGGTCGAAAATGCTGATCGAACAAATTTTCATTTGGTATTATGACGCTTATTCGATGAAGAATAGCGCTATTGTGAATTTCGCTCGTATAAATTGTTCACAATAGTATATTTTTCACCGCTTAGAAGCTTTGTTTACAAATCGAGCAAACTAAATAGTGTGCTTATACATATGTCTTTAAATGAGTGAAAATGAAGTAGAAAAGAAAGCGAGTTTATAAAAACTTGGTAAAAATTAGAACAACTGAGTTATGGTTCCACGATTCGCCATAGGATGAGAGCGTAGTAAACTGGTCAGGGAAGACAACTTTTAAGAGACTTTAAGTGTAGTCTTTCGAATATACTATTTTGACATACAATGGCCCGTAGTCATAGTCAAAATAAAGTCGACTTTAAAGTTAGTTGCAGCTTTTTGACATAATTTTCAATGGGATATCTGTCAAAAAAGCTGCAACTAACTGTAAAGTCGACTTTATTTTGACTATGACTACGGGCCAATATATTTAAGAAATTCGTCTATAGATTTGTTAAAAACTTCCGACTGTCTAAAGAGGCGTTTGTGAGCCAAATCGATTTAAAACATTTTAAAACTATCAACACCTCAAGCAACAGCTCTACGATTTTGTTCTCAGAGATCGTGCCAACTAAGTATTGGGATTTGCTTTCATAAATAAAAACAGCTTTTCGAGCTTGTATTTAGTATTCACGATGTTAGAACTGCATTCAATTAATAAATATTGCTTAAAATTAGTATCTAGCCGCCAAAAAGTAAGAAAACAAAGGCAAAGTGATACATTTTTCACCATTTTCTAACACTTCGCAACACGATCGAAAGCAAAATTCGACAGAAAATTCGACACTCAACGAAAATTTCGATACGGTTGCATAGCTCATAATACGAATTTCGCATTCGATATTCGATAAACAGTGAAGATCGAAAATTGAATGCAACTCATAATAGGGACCATAGATATTTTTGAAACATCGATAACATCAGTTCAAAATTCGATGTTTGCCATCGATGTTTACAATTTCCAAAAATCGCTAAATTCATCGCTGCCACTATCAGCCATGTTTTAATATCGACTTAAGTGTGACTCAGACTTGAATTCCATTTACCCATTATGCTCCTAATTTTTTTTTTTTGCCTGACCATGAATTCTATTACTTATTCCTTTGGGAAACATTCAGAAATTCCGAGTTTACTCTTATCTTTCGATATTGAAAATGCTTAATTATTCATTAAAAAAAGACCGGGATCCCGTTGAAATTTCAACGAAATCGGGCGTTGGAACATTAGGCTCACCGATTTTAAAGTGTAAAGGAATGGCGGCCGCTGTGGTGTGGTGGTTAGCAGTGCGCGCAGGGCCTGGGTTCAAGCCCTGGTCAAAGCAACATCGCAAAAAAATATAGAAAAATGGTTTTTTCTTAACAGCGATCGCCCCTCGGCAGGCAATGGCAAACCGAGTGTAATTCTGCCATGAAAAACAGCTTCTCATAAAAATACAATCGCCGTTCGGAGTTGGCGTAAAACTATAGATCCCTCCCCTTTGTGTTACAACATCAAGGCACACGCCACAAATCGGAGGAGAAGCTCCGCCAAACACTAACATATGTGTTAGCGCCAATCTATTATTATTAAAGGAATGGTAAATAAATACAGGGAAATGCATCCATATGTACGTATTTTTATACCCGAGCGCATTTGTGCACAAGGGTATTATAACTTTGTTCACATAACAGTTGTTAGTAACAGGCAAAACGAATCGAGATAGATATAGACAAATGTATACATAAATGATAAGATTGAAAAAAAAAAATCGATTATGCGATGACTGTCTGTCCGTCAGTGCACACGATAACTCGAGTAAAAATTTAGATATCTTAAACTATGTTCAAATATCAATATTATCTCAAGCAAAGCTCGATTTTTAATCACCACGTTTACACAGGCAAATCTCAGATTATTAGCCGTCAAATTTGTTGTGCTTGTTATTCTCACATCTCAAGGAAAAGTTATGTTTCTTCTCTGTGCCACCGTGATCACGTTTTTCTGCTATAATAAGCAATATAAATATATTTTAACTTAACAATTATTAAAAATACCTTAACAAACCTCTTTTACTTGCTGGCGTACATTTTTGTTTATTTTATATTTGGCATTTCTTCTTTTTTTCGCAAAAACAATCGATAAAACTAGAATGGACACCGAAAAGTTATCGGTTAAATCTGAGATTATTTTATAATTACAGATTAACAAGGGACGTATTTTATATGGCTAATCTCTTGTTATAATTACAGATTAGGGTGTTAAGCTCGAAAATGAGGATAATCTACTTATATGTGAACCTAGTATTAACGAAACTTGGTAGGTGCACTTCCTTCGGGCGTAGGACGGATGGTATTGAACATGTCCAAAATCGGACAATAACCACGCCTACCTCACGGTAGGTTTCAGAAATACGAAAACTGCGATATTTTAGTAACTACTGAAGATAATTCACTCAAAATTGATATTTGCAATAATTTTTAGAGGGAAAATTAGAATACTATAAATTTTTGGAAAATGGGTGTAGCCGCGCCCACTTATGGTTATATGTGTATATATTGGTAACCGCTGCACCAATTTCTTCCAAACTTGGCATAGTTGTTGGCCCTGCTACAGCATCACAAATGGCCAAAAAAATTTAAAATTTAAATTTAGACAAATGCAAAATCTTCGATAAATCAGTAAGTATTAAAGCTAATTTATTCATTGATTATATTGATAAAATTTTGGAAAATGGGCGTGGCACCGCCCACTTATGATCACATAAATGTATCTCGGTAACCGTTCTACCAATTTGTGCCAAACTCGGTATGGTTATTGTGCTGTCACATAAAAGCACAGCAAGCGAAGGCTCGGATGTAGAATCTGGACGTATAAAAAATGTGAAATTAAAGCTTAATTGAAGGCTTATCTTAAAGAAAAACCAGCACATCTCGTTGCAAATCCTCTCGATTTGTGGAAAACTAAACTAAAATAGAACAAATTGACAGATGATAAGTGAGCAATTTTCCAGTACAGCCGACCTTATATACGAGCCTCTAAAAAAAAACCTCAAGGGAGAAAAGGCAGCAAAATTACTTTTTTTGATTACTAGATTAAACAGATCATTAAGATTATACAGTGTAGGTCAAGCACTCGTTCAATCTTCTAATAATTCACAAAAGTTTTAAGTAATAAAAACGATGACTTAAGTTAATTATAGCATTTTTAATGTTAATTCTAACATTCACATTCGCATTTGCATTCGCGAATATCATGGGATCCGACCAAGGCGAATTTATACAAGGTGGTGTTACGGGCGAATTTAGATTTTCGCCGACCCTTCTGAATGTCAAAATTGTGTGTTTATTGTAACATGAATTCCCCTTGCTAACAACAAACATCCAGCCCTATCGCCTATTTCGTGTGAATAAATCATTCCCATAATTTAACATGCAAAACAAAAACAAATTGGGAAAATTTGTTTTTGTTTGGCTTTATAATTTTTGGGAATATTTGTTCATGTGAAGTTGCGATAGGGCCGATCATTTTGATATTCAGAAGGACTGCGGCAAGGCGGCTGTGACCAGAAATGTTCGACATCGTATCGATTATTCTGAACATCGATATTTTATGCTGCGATAATCGATTTTCTGAATCTATATTCCCAGGTCAATATATAGAAGACATCGATATTTTGCCCGCATTATCGATATTTAAGTTGAAATTTATTTTTCATCTACAAAGAAGTGTATGGGAAAATACTAAAGTAGGTTTAACCAGCAGCTTGTGTGATTTATTTAGCTCCTTAAGTTTAACAAACCGTCTGCATGGTAGATACGGCTCTTAACTCGTTGCCACCGTTAGACCTTTCGTCTTGGTCTATCTCCTTTAACAACACAGTCGACCAGCATTTCGCTTTAATCCTCAGTAAATATACAAGATGGAAATAACACAATTAGGTGAGTTCCAAGGCACCTCTAATATTCTATTCAATTGGGAGTAGAATAACATGATTTTTCTGATATCGATATTGTTCAGCCCGATATATCGCCACATAGTTTTTACATGCAATGAATTAAATTTATTCACGATATCGATACTTTCTTAAATATCGAGCACTCGCAGCTGGGACCTTATATAAATTCGCCTTGACAAAATACAGTTACTCCCAAAATTAAGCGTATGGCCTTTTTTTGTTAATATTCGCTATGTTTTACATGCTAAAATTTGTTTGTTAATTTTGTTTTAAAATATGGTTTATGTTTTAGCAAATGCCATTTAAATCCACGAATATACGCTGATTTCCAAAACGCCAATTGCTTTGCATACGTACAAAGTATAATGTTCCATAACGCCGAACTACACAATATTGGCAATGTATACTTTTCCAAAACGCATGTGAAAAGTTGTCGAAACGCATCGCCAGAGCAATCAGCGCATCAGAAACAAAGTTGATGCTTCGTTTGTTATTGGTTACCATTGGTGTCTTAGAAATGGAAAATTCAGAGAAATTGTTCATTGCTATATTGAATATGTAAAATATGCAATGTGTCGCAACTCTGCATATACAAACAGTTTGAATAACGCAGAATAACAGTATTTAAACATTGTATTGATACGTTTTGGAAGTCAGCCATAATGTTTTCAAAAATTAAGAAAAATCTGCAAAATTACGGCAAAATCGCGAACTCTTTAATACGAATTTCTAAAAAGAATTCTGGTATGCAATTTTATACCCCATTAAATTATAGTATAACAATGTGCAAAATTCAAATATCTAAAAAATCGCATTAATTGAATTAAAAATTAAAATTTTTACACATCGTACAAAGTAACAAAACGTGCAGCAGGTAAAGTCACTGCCCTAAAGCACATTCCTCATATATATTTCTGGTACATGTAGGAAAAAAATGTTTTTTTTTTACAAACACAGAAAATGTAATACCATGTTCTGACCGAAAACGAAATTGACATTTCTTACATCCTCTGATTAGAAACCACCAAAATGCTTTTCCCTCATGTTCCTTTCATTAGCAACCTCTTACTTTCATTCTTGTTTTGCTTTGGCAGCCAATTAACAATAAATCCCAAATGGCGTATTAAAAATGATAAAATATGACTTCCACTTCGATAAATAATCGAAAAAACTAGTGAAGACACCGATTGGAATGAGTGGAACGTGAGTTTTCAAGTAGTTTTCAGCGAAAACTGGTTTTCGTTTGACAGATTTTACATGGACGAAAACACAAGTTTTAAGTCGAAAACCAGTTTTATAACATGTTCTGACCGACAACGAAAACACTTTGAAAACGTGTTTTGGGAGTGTGGGCTGAAGGCCGTTCACACCGGCTGTTAGTGTTTCGTTGACGTTTATTACATCCTCTGATTACAGTTTTGCTACACAAAAACAAAACCAAAATGCTTTTCCCTCACCGAAAACACAAGTTTAAGTCGTAAACCAGTTTTAGCAACGAAAACATGTTTTCGATGTCGGTCAGAACATGGTATTAGCAACGAAAACATGTTTTCGATGTCGGTCAGACATGGTACAAGCTTCTCGTGTTGGTTGTCATTATCCGAGCATTCTTTGGCGGTGCGATGGGCACTTTGTATGAAATCGGCATCCACATCGTCAGAACATACTTCAGAAATATAATCACGAAAATGTCCTGCACAATCCGAGAGACCGTCTTGTAAATCACTTCCATTTTCATCTTCTTGGAGCCATTTCCTTATTACATTTTCTGCAGTCATTTATGGGGTAAACACTCTCACATCTACATTTGGACGCCATATTCAGACAATACTGCTAGAAAATGTAAAATAATAATGAAAGCTTTGATACAGTTTATGGAGCACAAAACACCATCATGAGTCCTCAGGACTCACACTTAACAAAATCTAAGCTTTACATAAGTTGCTCGCTAACGTCTGATATATCCTGAGTTCTTCGCCACACTGTACGAAGGTGCACTACGCTCCGGCTACTGCAGCAGGTTAAACTCCTACCTGAGTAGGCTGAATGAGGATGTGCCTAATGAATGTCCGGCATGCGGAGAGACCCCACATGACTCGAAACATCTCTTCGCATGCCCGGCAAACCCGACATCCCTAACGACCTTGTCCTTATGGGCAAACCCCGCAGAAGCTGCACGCTTCCTAGGGTTGCCGTTAGTGGATCTTGACGACAACGACTGAGATACCAACCGATCTGGGCGGGGTTGTTGTAGCCGCTACAACAACAACAACAACAAGGTGCACGAACGTTCGGTGCCGAGTGTGAAAAGCTGGGTTTGTTTTAAGGCTTTAAACATAAGCCATGTTTTAAAACAAATTTAACAAAATAAAAACCATTTTGGGAGTAACTGTACATGTGGGTGTTGCTTATGCAATCTTGCTACCACGCTGTATTAATTCATAGTGGTATGTAGCATTTGCAGCGACACGTTGACGTTAACGACAATGGCTTTGCTTTTTTTCTTTTCTAGCAGATAATTATCAGCAAGATGGGAAAATTTAGTCCGCTCACAGAGAGCGAAATAAAGAAAAAGTAAAGAAACGCAAAACAAGCAGTTAACAGCTGATCGATGTATTTGTCTTTTGTAAATATTTTGGCGCGAATTTTTATCCATTTTTACTAGCAGAAATTAGCAAGACGCAAAAATAGGGCGTAAGAACGAGAGCGAGCTGCTAGTTTTTTGGGTTAAGAAACGCTTTCCAGCAGAAATTAGTGATAATTATCTGGTGAGAAACAAAGCTATTTCGGCAGCTTCTGTCATTCCAATGAAATTTGCGCCTTTCTTATTGGAAATTTCTTATCTGAACACAGCCACCCAATACACGATTATGAATGAGATTTCCAGTGGGAGATTTTACGCATTTTCGTAAATATTAAATTACCTTGGCGTCGGACACAAATTTTCAATGTTATCTGTTTGTTTCAACTTCTTATTAGACATTGTATTAATATTTTTCACTTTGTTTTTCTACACCTTATTTTATTGCCGATTAACACAAAGCAAATTAGGGTACGAGTAGAATTTCTACAATCAACAAGTGTAAGATTGCCAACTAGTTTACATTCCAGCAATACTGCGCTGCCAGCTACATGAAATTTACGTTGGTACCATGATAAAAGCATTAGTTGCGTTCCATATCTCCCATAGATAGTTAGAAAAGTCCGAAGTAGTCAGATTAGCTCTGATCCAGTACTCCATGAACTTACAGGATTTTACACGAATTTGCAGGAAGTTGCAGGAAAAATGTTCCCGTACTCCTAAATCCTCCAAAATCCTGTAAATGAGAGCGACTTTTGGAGAGTTGTGTAGAGAATGAAGTTGCAAGATTTTACCCGAACTTTTTCTTCTGGTAAAATCATGAAAAGTGTCAAGCAATCACTGGTTGACGTTTTTACAGGAAAAATGGTTTTTTTGTTCCCGTACTTTTTGTTGTTACTCACTTTTTACTCTCACTTCAGAGAGTAATTTTGCTGTTTGACAGTTCTACAGGATTTTCCACGAAAAGTATTGGATCAGAGCTATTAAGTCCAAAAAGTGTTCCTTAACTCGAAAATGACAGCAAAAATGAGAGGGCAACACTCAGTGAGAGTGACGCTCTTCAGTCCGAAGTAGTCAGATTTAGTCAGAAGAATTTTTTCTGGCAAAATCCTGGAAAGTCAAACTCAACTGAATTTAAATTAACTAATGCACTAATGAGCAAACCTTTTATTATTGAATCATCTGTTGGTACGACGAAGCATGGCGAAAAAACAAAAATTACAATAACAAATTATACGCACATTGACAATCGGTACAAAACAAGATTGCAACAAACACATAATTTTGACAGAGGCGCAAATTCAGTGGATCCGGTAGCACCACCTTGTATAGATTCGCCTTGGGTCGAACATTCTATCATCTTCTCGTTGCTCGCATTGCGGCCAGTGATCGGGCGCCTACCACATTGTGCTAGATCTATCACTTTTTTGAGCATCTACCACACAAGGTCTGAAATCTACCACATATTTTGAACAGTTTTTCTTTTTATCACATCATGATGTAGCGAACAAATGTGGCACGTTCCAGAAACTGCTACTTGGGATTTGCCGTTTTTTGATAATTCTCAAGTAAAAATAAACAACGCTGTAGAAACTTTAGATGCACTGAAATTTGCTAATACTCTCACAAAAATCGCCTTTTTTAACATTTCGCTATTAATTATTTTTATAAATCATATATTTTGCAATTTGACAATAAAAGCACGTTTTCTGTCGAAATACTGAATATTGAGAAAATTTAATATTTTGCAGTTTATTTTATAACGCCTGTTGTTAGTGTATAGTGTTGAACATTTTTGGCTCTTAAACTTGAGAAAGTTATGTCGAGCAAAAATAAAACTACTCAAAAATGCGAATATGTGGTAGATTGCAGACCTTGTGTGGTAGATACTCAAAAAGTGGCGATCTACCACATTGTGGAGAGTCCGATCACTGACCACCTTGTATAAATTCGCCCTGGAATCGTTGGTGAATAGCTTTCCAAAGCCAAGAGGAAGTTTCAATCAGTGTTGCCATAAGTAAGATTTATCTTCAAAATTAACATATTTTTCATAAATAATCAGAAAAATCTTCACATGATGATATACTACGTTTATACGCACGTATTATTTCCAATCACAATTTGCAAAATGGCAAACTTTCGTATAAACGTAGAGTTAATTTTTTTATTTTCAAATAACTAGATCACGCAAATAAGTATTGATTAGTGGTACTATTTGCAAATAAGCGCAAGACGCCGCCAATCTTACTGCCATCACTAAACAATGGCGCGGGGGGCGCGGGGGTTTCTAACACTTAGTCCCCTTTCAGACACGTCAAGTCTTGAAAGCAATTTTTTTCGCATTCTCTTTTGAGTTTTCTATTTGCTTCCACACGCGTCAAAAGATCAAAAGAGACAAGAAAACTTGAAACGAATTGACGGTACGGAGGTATCTGTACTCTTCCCCTCTCTTCTCACCTCCTTCGCCAACGAACGAGCAGACTTGAAAGCAAGACTTGACGTGTCTGAAAGGGGACTTTTATAGGCTGTTTTTGCTTACGCGTAAAAGCACATTTAGCGCATTTAGCTCTAAATGCTACTCTAAATGTCCATTTATCCATACAAAATTCGGCACCTAAATGCAACTAAATGCAACTCCATTTTTGCATTAAGAATCTAAATGCTAAAAGCAACCCTGTGATCTTCCAAAATTTCCACGATTCGAACATGGTTTAAAGAGAAAAAGTGGCAACATTGCTTTTTCGAGTATACAGTTGATAGCTACGTTTCAGTGATCGCCGATCGAGATTTCTTTTATTTTGCATTACATATTTGGATAAAGAAAAGTTAAGCAAATTCAATATCGATTTGATGCTGATAGAAATCTGGATCAATTTGTGAACAACTCGGTTCGTTTTGTTTCCTAATTAAGTGAGAAAATTTTAATTGACAGCACCGACAAATGAATATATACACAAACAAATTTTCGGTTATGGTTAAAACAATACAAGTTTTTGTATTGAATTTTTGGTTTAAAATGTATTTTTTCCTTTTCAGTAGGGTTTTTGCACATTATCTCCTGCGTGAGAATTGATCGTAATATATACGCATCTAAATAAGAGACTGGAACACGGCTGTTTGTTAAAAGCATACTATTTCGAACTCGCGTAAATGTACATTTGCTAAATGCTATAGCATGAACGCTCTTCGAAAACATATGTTCGAAAGTGCTAAATGTTGCTTTTTAAATGCAGCAAAAACGCTGCATTAGCGTTAGCGCCGAAGTGCCATACCTAAACAAAAGCGTCAACGCTACGTCAAATGCAGAAATAAGACCAACGGTCATAAGTGCCATGCATAGGTAAGCATAGGTTTGTTTTTGTGTAATACGAAACTTACGGTTTCGCCGTTTTCTACAGCCAACTTCAATACCTAAAGCCCTGTCAAAATCGGATTTTCCAACCGTTCAGCGTTGACGCCGCGTTGTTTCGGTATGCTTCATACAAATTGTATGGGCATGAGAATTTTTTGCGGAGAGACAACGCTGACGCTTTGGTTTAGGTATGACAGTTAAGTTTATTTTCTTTTTCGATGGTCATCTTATTGCCTTTTTTATAATCAAGACGTTGCTATTTTTTTAACTTTATTTTCTTTTTCGATGGTCATATTATCGTTTTTTTATAACAAGCCAACATTAAAAAATAATTTTGCACCATCGAATAAACAGTGAGTTAGGTAATTGCAAATTATTTTTATTTGCAAATGGCTTACGTATAAACGTAGTATATAACTAGCTTTATATAAGTATCATCAATATCCTACAGCGAGGATGAATGCACAAATCCGGGGAGAGCTTTTTCTCAAATAAATTTGAACAAAACAATAATTCGAAATACGCTAAAAACCACCACCTTAAGTGGTATTCTTTATACAAAGGATTATTTAAAGAGGTACGGTCATAAGTGCCATGATATAGATTTATTAAAATACTTTAAAAGTACAGTGTACAAGACTTAAATTAAGAAGTATGAATCCTTACACACATATGTGTACCAGTATATTTTTATAGTTCTCTAAAACTTTTAGTTAATTCCAATGTTTGAATAATATATAGTTGTAAAAATACAAGTAAATATATGAGTATGTATATTGAACCAGTCAAGTAAAACTGTTATGATTTCATTAACTTGTAATTTTGGTTTTTAAATAAAATGTGTTATAATTTTTTATAATCAATACAATTTTTATAAAAAAAGAAGCTTCTTTGTTAAAAAATGTTCAATAAAGATATTGCTAGAGACAAGAGATTTTTCCGTTCCAGTAACCTTTTAAGGTTTTTTTGGGGTTTATCACTTGGAAGATTTTTAACAAAAGTTATCTGGCAACACTGGTGGCGAAAGCAACTCGGGCTGGAAGTCTTTCCCAATCGTGCACGATCAAGAAGAAGAAAAATCTCGTTTTGAATTGGCGGCTAGTGAAAATTTGTTTTATGATTTATCAATAAATGCTGATATATACATCGGTACATATAATTTTTAATGGTGTAGCGCCTAACTAAAAGGTGAAAATATTTTTGTGTTGATTACGTTATTAATTATTGCAATCTCATCTAATAGATGGTTGATGGACGGTCACTCACCCTCCGAATATCGCAAACCAATCAAGTTGAAAATAGTAAAAGCGGCAATAAAAAAATTGTAGGCCAACGATACAATACTTTCGATATATTGCGAGGTTGCTGCATTAAACTGCGTCGCATTAAATTTTTTTTGAATGTAAACAATTGTCGGTGTATGAATGCCACTGCTACAGAGAAAAGGGTGGTTTTGGTTTCTAAAGTGCCACTGGTGCAGCATAGCACTGCTGAATGCGAAGAGACAGTACCATTTATGTTTGTAACACAACAAAACCGTGAAAGAAAGGAAAGGCTAAATAAGCCGGACACACCAGCTAATAATCAAATGTTAGAAGACCTTGCGCGATTTCCACATGTACAGGAAACTCGAAAGGGTTTGTAAGTCTAAATCTTGTATTTATATATTATTATTAATCGACTTTTTTAGGGTGCAAAAATCTCGTTGTAAAAGTAAAACGATTAAGGCTGGAAAAACAGCATAATAAATTGAAATCGTATAACAACGGGGATACTCTAAAGGGTTTGTAAGTCTAAATCTTGTATTTATATATTATTATTAAACGACTTTTTTAGGGTGCAAAAATCTCGTTGTAAAAGTAAAACGATTAAGGCTGGAAAAACAGCATAATAAATTGAAATCGTATAACAACGGGGATACTCATAATTCTCAAGACTCGGTGGCATATGAAATTGGAAACACAGTAGCATTGCAGGATCAATGCGCGCTTAATTTATTTGAAACGTCTGAAAAATCAAAACTGCAAGTGCCGATAACTATTAAAAACGCTGTAGTTAAATTGAAGCGCATTAAACCCCAAAGCCCTATTAGAACACTGAAAGTCAACGCTTCACCACTCGGTTCGTATCTACATATATACCTATGAGATAAATTGAATTTTTGCTTATTACGAATATACATACTTATTTGTTTGTTTGGA